GTAGACACGATTATCTAACTGCCAATATGCAATAATATGCCACTGGCATATACTCGGAAGTGTGGAAAATTCTAGTATCTAATCAGAATATGAAAGCCACTACTTCAAACCAAGATTAAGGCCGACCAAGACTCCAAATTTTCTAATTTATCAGCCATCCCTCGTCAGACCAGGTAGTATTTCAGATGCATTCACGAAAGAATAAGCCTAGATAGTTACCTCGAGCGATAACAGACTCAAAGATAAGAGTGTGAACCAAAATATGGCCAATCTCCAGTTTCGAATCAGAGTAGACGACCTACCGGTTGCCTACAACAATAAGCAACAGCAACATGAATTTGCTCAAAAGACAACCGACAATGGAACCAGAGGGTTGTAGTGTTCGAAAGAATTAAATAGGAAAAATGTGTAATAGACGCATGTTCGATTGAAGTTTTCGGACGGGGATGGGTTTTATACAGATGCGAAGACGTACCGTTCCCATCAACTACCCTACCAATGGCCTTATTTAGTGCATCTTCAACACAGATGCCTACATCGTAATAGTGATCAAACCAGAAAGCTGTCCAGAGGATGACCGTCACTGGAGACCAAAACGAGAATTTGTTAGGTGCTGGAAATATAATAAATTATCCTAAATAGAGCGGGGCATAGAGTAGATGCATGGGGGATCAAATAAAGCCTTCACAAAAGATAGACGTAGCTAGAGACAAGCTTTCAATGTTTTAGCTTTAGAACATATTTATTAACAAGTGGAGTCTACATCAAAATGAACGATATGACAGTCTAGGCTATCCAGATCGACCAAGGCGATACAATGTGACATATCAAATCGTGGCACAGAAACAAGTAGAGCGCCCTCAGCAGTTACCACTTCGGAGGTTCCTCTTCCCTGTTTGGTGGCTGTCAAATGTGGAAACAGATTAGCTCTTCGCCACACGGGCTGTTTCACTTCTGATTGTCCCGTGGCTGAAACGTAGATATCAGGATAATCAATCGAATTGAAAGCAATGCTCGAATCAGCTGGAGGAAAACGCATAAGAAGAGGATCGCAGTCCGAGAGTGGGTATCCGAGTAAGGAATCAGGACAAGTGGGTGCCAGATGGCCCCAATGAAGACTGGCTTCCATACGATCGAGGTCATCAGCTAGATCCGTGTACCTGATGAAATGGAGAGGAGTTAAGTTGGATATAATTTTGAAGGATAATACATATTGGAGGAAAATAGTATTTTAACCATAATTACTATCATCTCTGTTGGTATCTGTCCCGAAAAACTCAATTCTGACAAACTTAAACTCACATGGCCAGCTGTTGACTATTCTGCCCCGATGTGGCCAGCACTCGACGACCCGCCACTCGGCAGAGATGTGGGTTAGTGACTCCTCTGAGACCAGACTTGCCTGAGCCAACACGATCAACAGACTTCGGAAGAGTGGCTGCATGAATCGGTTGCTGAGGCATCAAACAAGAAACAGCGTCGTGTGGGCCAGGCAAAAGGTGGACACAGAGCCCGCCGCCACTGCCACTCTCCATATGGCCAACTTCATTTACTTTTTCAGTGTATCCAATGCATGCCAATACGTCCTCATGCAGATTCTTGGCCAAGAGATTCTGATTAAACCCTCCTAATGGCAGACTAGCTAGCCAGGCGTCGAATGAGGCCATGGCAGCCACGCCCTCAGCTTCCAGCTTAAAAGTCAGGTGGCGAGCCTAGTGATGGAAAAGAGCCATCGTGGTAAATCTCACTAATTATGAAATTAAAAATAGCTTTCCCTAAGAAGTCTTAAAAAGAAATGCTTCGATAGATATTTTGTAAATTAAAATAAGCGTTACAGCTACTGAACATCTGCAGCGATTTTTAACCTGTTGGGCATGTAAAAAAGTGTAATATCTAGATGGAATATAATATACTCTAGTAAACGAGATTTAAATTCGTGGCTGCTTTGGGGACTGCCAATGGATGCCTTGTGGGAACCCTTTACACCCATACTATGGTGCTGATTTACGATAAGATAGCCAAAAACATTCATGCTATTTCTCAAATAAGAGAAGTTCATAAACTTCGACTATAATACATTCTTAAAAGTACTGATATGAGAAGAGTGAAGCAAAGTATCGGCAAATATTAAGTATGTTTGGCATTCTTGCCCAATTACACATGGCATATGTTTAAAATACATAGATAAGGATGTTTTGTGTAAAAAATAACCGACCATTCAACAAATATCTTGGATTTAGCATTACATTTATAAAGCCAGTTAAAAAGCAGGCCTAAAACAACATTTTTAATACTTAAATTTACCTGTTTAGCTTGCACACAATTAGCGAGCGTCTCGCACGATCCATCATGTCCTGCTCTTATTGAATCGCCCAAAATCATCAAGCAGCAATTACTAATAGAAGTGCTCACATCTGACGAGCTTAGTCTTGCCCATTCACCTTCGCGAAGCCAGTCAGCCAAAAGAGTCAGGGACATTAAATGACGATCATAGGATTCAGGAATAGCGGACCCGGAGTAGCTGATAAAGCCTAATCCCGACACAAGAGCAAGCCAATTTACACCTGAGATTCTTCGTGGAGTAATGGGAATTACGGGCTGAGGCTCCAAAAAAACTATATCCTCCACAAGAAAATTACCTAGAGAAGACATATATGAGAAGAGATGAGTTATGAATGAAAAATATTGACATGCTTCATTAGATACTATGTGTTTCAGGGTAAGAATTTGTTAATAAACTTTGCAGAAACCTACCTCAGATACTGATCTAAGACCAAATATAAGCAGCAGACACAGAAAACCAGCGATCTCGACACATACATACATAATTCCCAAGTAAAATACTAGTTACTCCTAATTAG